TGGAACTACTTCGACTTGCTGCTGGCGGCAACTGGCGTCATGGATCTGATCATGCAGGGAGTTCGCCAACAAAAGTCACTGGGTCTTGGAGTACTATACTTTAATCCTTTTTTTGGCTCTGGGGTTCCTATTATAGCTACTTATACCTAAAAAGTGTATACATTTTTTTTCAGGGTCTACTCCAAAGCTAAGGTCAGACGTCACTGGCACCTCCCTCCTCCGCTTCTGCCGCCTGATTCGGCTTGCTCGGATCGTGAAAGTGTGTCTTGGGTGGCCCAGCGGTACGCTGTTACGCCTCTTGTTTGGGGTTTTTTCCTACAAGTCGCCCACCGCAAGAGGGGCGTCCTTTGTCGGAACCCTAAACCCTAAACCCGAAACCCTAAACCCTAAACCCTAAACCCTAAACCCTAAACCCTAAACCCTAAACCTGGGCTCCCAAGGTTTCGCATCAGGTTCATGAAGGACCTCCGCCTCATGGTGAAAGGCTTGATTGCTGGGATTCGCACACTGGGCTTGGCTTTCATCTTGCTCTTCGCGGTGCTCTACGTCATCGCCGGAGTCTTGGTAGCCCAGTGGTACCCCCTTTGCACTTTTTTTGGGGCCGCTGGGTTCCAAACCCTAAGCCCTAGACCCTGAACTCTACGCCCTAAACCCTAAACCCTAAACCCTAAACCCTAAACCCTAAACCCTAAACCCTAAACCCTAAACCCTAAACCCTAAACCCTAAACCCTAAACCCTAAACCCTAAGCCCTTACAACGTTATAATTATAGCACGCCTCCTGGGCGACCAAGGATTTGCCACCATCGCGATCGGCCAGGACACGAGAACCAAGGAGCCTTGTAGCCCAGTGGCGCCCTTTTTAGCCCTTGTTTTTTGGATTCTCGGTTCCCGGAAGAGCCCGAGGCCCTAAATCCTAAACCCGAAACCCTAAACCCAAAACCCAAAACCCTAAACCCTCAAAACCCCTAAACCGTTGTTGTGATCATGGTTTCTGGGCCACCAAGGAGCTGAACTTGGATAAGTACTTCCACAACATCCCCGCAGCCATGTTCACCGCCTTCCGATGCTTCAACGGCGCCGGAGATGCGTTTCAGCGGGCTGTTCGACTCTCTAGTCGTATCTTGGGATGTTCCCCCTGTACTAACAGTTCTTTATAGGGATGAGACAGGGCGATTACTATAGTCGCCACCAAGGACTGTTAGTATAAGGGGGTACGTCCCACATCGTATCGTTTGAGGGGTATGTGCTAAGCCTCCAGGCAAGATCATCATTCCCATTTGAAACTCTCCTTCTTCTGCCACCTTCATTGCAGTTGCAACCTAATACCCTAAACCCTAAACCCTAAACCCTAAACCCTAAAACCTAAACCCTAAACCCTAAACCCTAAACCCTAAACCCTAAACCCTAAACCCTAAACCCTAAACCCTAAACCCTAAACCCTAAACCCTAAACCCTAAACCTTAAACCCTAAACCCTAAACCCTTCAGTCATGGTTGTGGTCACTGGTTGTGTGTGGTTGTGGTCGTCGCCGCTGTTCCCAGTCCGTAGGGTGGTTCGGGAGTACACGCTCTAGCTTTAGGCTTTAGGTAAAAGGGCTTCGGGGTGAGGGGCGGGGTTAGCGTTTAGGGTTTAGGGTTTAGGGTTTAGGGTTTAGGGTTTAGGGTTTAGGGTTTAGGGTTGAGGGTTGAGGGTGAGGGTTGAGGGTTTAGACTTCAGTTCGCCAAAAGGAGAGTGCGTCAATGAGAAGGGCTTGCCCATCAACGACCTTCTTGCTGAAGCGCTGGGGTGGCCCTTCATCACGGGCTACATCGCCAGCTACATGCTTGTGGCCATGGGAATCTTCAATGTCATCCTGGCTGTGTATGTGGCTTGCTTGGAGATTAGGGTTCAGGGTTCAGGGTTCAGGGTTTAGGGTTTAGGGTTTAGGGTTTAGGGTTTAGGGTTTGGGGTATAGGGTTTGGGGTTTAGGCTTCTATGTGGCTTCTGTGTAAAGCCCTCACCCCCCGAGGTTCTTCCACAAGTGGCCCTAAACCCTTATCAACCCTAAACTGCAAGGTTAGGGTTTAGGGTTTAGGGTTTAGGGTTTAGGGTTTAGGGTTTAGGGTTTAGGGTTTTAGGGTGTTAGGGTTTTAGGGTTTCGGGTTTAGGCTTTAGGGTTTAGGGTTCATGGTTTAGGGTTTAGGGCTCCGACAATTGAGTAGCGACAGTCAAGCAGTTGGAGGCAGATGCCCTCCCTAGCGCCAGAAGAGTTCCCTTCTTAAAAGGGCAACATAGGGGTTTTTTGATTCTTTTTGGGGGGCAAGAACCCCCTCAACAAGTAAGAAATGATCCTTCTTAAACGGGCAACATAGGGATTTTGATTTTTTTTGGGGGGGGGGTTCTTAAGCAACTAGTAGTAGCGAAGCCTCCTTGGGTCAAGGCAACCCTAAACCCTAAACCCTAAACCCTAAACCCTAAACCCTAAACCCTAAACCCTAAACCCTAAACCCTAAACCCTAAACCCTAAACCCTAAACTGCTGAGAACCCAAGGTGGACATCACCATGAAGGCTGCCGCCAGGTCCGCAAGGTCATGTCAGGGTTTAGGGTTTAGGGTTTAGGGTTTAGGGTTTAGGGTTTAGGGTTTAGGGTTTAGGGTTTGGGGTTTAGGGTTTAGGGTTTAGGGTTTAGGGTTTAGGGTTAGGGTTTAGGGTTTAGGGTTTAGGGTTAGGGTTTAGGGTTAGGGTTAGGGTTTAGGGTTTAGGGTTTAGGGTTTAGGGTATCCCCTTCTGGTCCCTGTATAAAGACACTAAAGGAACCCCCCCCCCCCCCCCCTCCCCCAAACAAAAAAAAACAAAAAACAAAAACCCTCTTCTAAGTATTAAGGCCCCCAAAACCCTAGTCTTATTCCCTCGCGGTCCCTTGATACCCATACTATAAGAACCCCCCCCCCCCCCCCCCCCCGAAGAAAAAAAAGAAAGTAACCTTTTCTAAGAACGAAGGCCCCTATAGTAGAGGCTTGGGATGGCTTTGTTCACATGAAGTAGGGTTTATGTTTCTTGTTACCCCTAAAAGGACACCCAATACATGCACTCACCAATCTCAAAAAAGGAACCTTATGTACACTCACCAAAACAGCAATATCAACCCACTTCATGTCACCCCGTCTTGGGGCAAGCTAAGGAAGTTTCTGGTGTGGGAGCTTGGGCTGTTCGCTCTTACACGATCAGTCCTGAATAGGGATGATAGTAGCGCCTGACGATTATAGTCCCTAGTAAGGACTGTTAGTATAAGGAAGAAACATTTCAAGTAGGAACACCGGTTCCAGAGAGGTTCAGGACTTAGGCTTTTGCAAGCGCCAGCCGAGGCCAAAGAGAACGACGCTGTGACGGCGGAGCAGCACACGAAGGAATCCATCCGGGTCGCGCGCACCACGCGAGAGCTGCTGAAAAAGTTTTCGGGGGCCTTTCATGTCTTTGCAGATCAGGGGGATGCTCCGTTCTACCTTGGGATTTGTGTTTCAAGTCCGTTGCTTTCTTTAGTAAGGTAATCCTTGCCATAAGCGAGATTTCAATGAATATTTGGGTCCCCGTTTATACTACCCCAAGCTTAAACTTAGTAGAGTCTCCATACAAAACACCTCCACCAAGGTACCCTAGTTTATGGAACCGCCCGGAGAAGTTTCAATCAGCTTATCTACAACGCTAAACCCTAAACCCTAAACCCTAAACCCTAAACCCTAGACCCTAGACCCTAAACCCTAAACCCTAAACCCTAAACCCTAAACAGCTCAGGATTTCAACAGGCTTGACAAGTTGCCTTCGGAAATCCTGATCACGCAGGATGGACAGCAGGACGCCCGGTAGGACGTTTAGGGTTTAGGGTTTAGGGTTTAGGGTTTAGGGTTTAGGGTTTAGGGTTCAGGGTTTAGGGTTTAGGGTCTAGGGTTCTTATGTTTACAACAAATTATACTTCGTATGTTTCCTTGGTAGCCCAGTGGTACCCTTTGGCCCATTTTTTGCTTCAAGGTTCCCCTGAAAAAAAAGGCATCCAACCAAAAAAAGGGGTACCCTGATCATAACATGGTTACTGGAGGGCATGCCCCCTAAACTCTAAACTCTAAACTCCAAACCCTAAACCCTAAACCCTAAACCCTAAACCCTAAACCCTAAACCCTAAACCCTAAACCCTAAACACTAAACCCTAAACCCTAAACCCTAAACCCTCCTGTTTCATAACCGCTTACCGGGCCAGCCCAGGACAAGATCGCGATCACCAAGGAGCTCTTTCTGTTGATCATCCAGGATCCGGGTGTCCAGCGGCTGATACGAGGGTAGGTTTGAACATAACTTTTGTTGTTTTTTTGACCCTTCATCCCCCCGTAGAATCCTGATAGAGCCGTGATAAACCCTAAGCCCTAAACCCTAAACCCTAAACCCTAAACCCTAAACCCTAAACCCTAAACCCTAAACCCTAAACCCGAAACCCGAAACCCTAAACCCTAAACCCTAAACCCTAAACCCTAAACCCCCAAAAATCTGCCTCAGGATGGATGAGCTGGAGCTTCCGCCGGACCGCGCGAACCTCTTTGAGATCATCGATGCGAACGGCAATGGCACCCTCCAGGTGTCGGAGTCACTTGGAGTGGTAGGGCAGCCTTACCATCACCTTGGGGGGGTTTAGGGTTTAGGGTTTAGGGTTTAGGGTTTAGGGTTTAGGGTTTAGGGTTTAGGGTTTAGGGTTTAGGGTTTAGGGTTTAGGGTTTAGGGTTTAGGGTTCAAGGTTTAAGGTTTTGGGTTTTTGGGCTTTAGGGTTTAGGGTTTAGGAATTTAGGGTTTACTTGGTAGCCCAGTGGTGCACTTTTCCCTCTTTTTGGTTCAAGCATAAAGTAGCCAACCCCAAACAAGGGTGCCCTTATGGTTATAATCCCCTGCCTCTAATATTAAATTCCCTGCGGGCCCCTGCCCCGAATATGAAATACCCCCCATTACAGTTTTAATATAGTATATTGGGGGATTTTAATATTAGGGGGTAGGTGGGGTTGAATACAAGGGGGAGGGGATTATCGATCTGGGCTACCAAGCATATTTCCCGTGCCCTGCACCGAAAATCCAAGTTCAAGCCGAGTGGAGCTTGAGTTCAACCTCCGACATAGGCCTACATGAAGCCTTACTAGGCCCCCTAAGCCCTAAACCCTAAACCCTAAGCCCTAAGCCCTAAACCCTAAACCCTAAACCCTAAGTCCTAAACTCTAAAACTCCTTGCAAAGGGCTCCTTAAGTAGAACTCGCCAGGTTGCTGCACGGCCTTCTAAAGATCCGCGGGGAGCTCAACAAGAGCGACGTAGTGGCGACTCTCCTGGCCACCAAGGCTGCTTGGTTTAGGGTTTAGGGTTTAGGGTTTAGGGGTTAGGGCTTAGGGCTTAGGGTTTAGGGCTTAGGGCTTAGGGTTTAGGGTTTCCCTGTATAAGTATGGTACCAAGTGGGACATTTTTCGTAAATTTCCCTTGTTGGGTTAACGAGGATCATATGTCAGGAATAGCTCTAAACCCTAAACCTAAACCCTAACCCTAAACCCGAAACCCAACCCTAAACCCTAAACCCTAAGCCCTCAGCCCTAAGCCCTAAGCCCCAAGCCCTAAACCCTAAACCCTAAACCCTAAACCCATTCAGGAATACATGCTTCAGAGGCTTTTCAAAATCCCCAGGCTGTGCAGGACATGGTCGACGACCTTAAGTCGGGGTGTGAGGAGCAGTTCGCCACTCTGCGCAGTGAGCTGGCGCAGCAAAATGCTGAGCTGAACCGACAGCTCAGCAACTAGGCAGGCCCCTGGGAAGATTTTTTTGGGTTTAGGGTTTAGGGTTTGGGATGTGGGGTTTAGGGTTTATAATTAGGGTTTCACTCGGCAGGATCATATTTAGGAAACAAACTCCTTTCAGGGGGGTTTTATGTGGGCCATCCGAGGCAAGCTCGCAGGTGTCAAAGTCAAACACCTCAGAGCCAGGAACATCCGCGTGCAAGACCTCAGCAGCCTTGAGGTACCCCTTCGACCGGGAGACCTGCCACCAGACACTGAGGCGGAGCCGCTCAGGTCGTAGGAAGCCCCTAGGTTGCTCCGCAAGACCTTCCTTGACACCCTAAACCCCTAAGCCCTACACCCTAAACCCTAAACTCTAAACCCCAAACCCTAAGCCCTAAACCCGAAACCCTAAACCCTAAACCCTAAGCCAACCCTAAACCCTAAACCCCTTAATAGGAGTTATAGTCGTATAGGGTATGTGACCCAATTTTAGGGTTTATCTGGGGGCCAAGCTTTGCATGTTCAGGAAGGGGGAGTGTAGAGCCTGGGTCTAGCTTCAGCAGTCAGAACCCCAAAAGCAACAGCACCTTCAACAAGGCAAAGCCCATGCACCTTTAAACCCTACACCCTACAACCTAAACCCCTAAACCCCTAAACCCCTAAACCCCTAAACCCCTAAACCCCTAAACCCCTAAACCCCTAAACCCCTGAACCCCCAAACCCGTAAACCCCTAAACCCCTAAACCCCAAAACCCCTAAACCCCAAAACCCCTAAACCCTAAACCCTAAGCCCTAAACCCTAACCCCTCCTGCTCTCCGGGAGCAGTTCGCAACCCTTGGACATGCGACAGAAAACGTCCGCAGTTGGGGGCAGCCGTACGTTGCCGCGTCAATACAACTGTTCCTTGCTTGAAGGCTCATGGTACTTAGTAACCCATTTTAATGGTGCCTACAACCCAAGTTAGAACCATATTAGGGCACTTAAGCAACCCATGTTAACGGTACTTTTAACCCAAATGATGACCATATTGGCCCCATAAGGAGCTTCCCTAAACCCTAAACCCTAAACCCTAAACCCTAAACCCTAAACCCTAAACCCTAAACCCTAAACCCTAAACCCTAAACCCTAAACCCTAAACCCTAAACCTAAGTGGGCTCTAAGTACAGTTGTAATTGGCTAATAAGTACCTCGAACCTCCAAGTGTCCTTCGTGCAAAGAGGCGAAGACGCAGAGGAAAGGGAAAACTGCAGCTCAGGGTTTGGGGTTTGGGGTTTGGGGTTTAGGGTTTAGGGTTTAGGGTTTAGGGTTTAGGGTCTAGGGGGTCCTGAACCCCTCAACGCTCAACCCTAAACCCTAAACCCGAACGCACATGAACCCTAAGCACTTTTAGAGTTCATTTCGTCCCGAAGGATGGTTTGAGCCCAAACGGCACCGTTTAGGGTTTAGGGTTTAGGGTTCAGGGTTCAGGGTTTAGGGGTAGCCCTAAACCCCAAACCGTCCCCGGACCCTGAACATGGAAGTGCTGGCGCGACTACTTGAGAAGTGGCGCATCTGCTGCAGTGACGTTCATGGGTTTCCCTACTACCCCCCTCTATACTACCCCCCTAGGCTCCCCCCCATAATTGAGGCTGTTTAAGGGTTAGGGTTTAGGGTTTGGGGTTGGGGGAACCTGGACCGTTCAACGCCCCCAATCCCTGCTGAAGCCTCTCAGCCTCCAAGACCTACGCACTAAGCCCTGAATTTTTAAACCTTAAATCGTGAACCCTAAGCCCTAAACAACTAAATTGCCCTAAATAAACTAAGTAACCCTCAACAAGCCCAATAAGCCTAAATCACCCGAAACAACCCGAACCTAAACCCTAAACCCTAAACCCTAAACCCCAAACCCTAAACCCTAAACCCTAAAACCTAAACCCTAAACCCTAAACCCTAAACCCTAAACCCTAAACCCTAAACCCTAAACCCTAAACCCTAACCCTAAACCCTAAAGCCTAAAGCCTAAAGCCTAAACCCTAAACCCTAAACCCTAAACCCTAAACCCTAAACCCTAAACCACTCCATCCGAGGCGCTGATCCGCTGGCGTCCAGCTTGGACGGCCGTACGCCGCTCGCGGTCGCCAGCACCTCAACCCACGGGTGCAGGGCTTCCTACACCCTTACTTGCCCTAAACCCTAAACCCTAAACCCTAAACCCTAAACCCTAAACCCTAAACCCTAAACCCTAAACCCTAAACCCTAAACCCTAAACCTAAACCCTAAACCCTAAACTCTTTTCCCTTCCCCCGAAACCCTTAAGTTTTTTTCGGCTTGGGTTGAAGGTTTGCGGTTTGAGTTTAGGGTTTAGGGTGTAGGGTTTAGGCGTTGAGGGTGTAGGGTTTAGGGTTGAGGGACAAGGGCTCTGAGTTTAGGTTCGCGAGGTTTGGCAGCTACTGCTCGTTCGGCTCTTTCGTTCTTAGACAGGAATTGACAAAGGTCACTAGACTTTTAGCCGCACTGCCAGATATATTCCGCAGGCTCCCTGTTGCGTTAATTCTATGTGCTTCGTTACCCTTCGAGAGGCCGAATTTTCCTGAACCTTAAACCTTCAGCCCGAAGCCCTCAACCCTAAACGCCCTGCCTGGCCAGCGGGGGGGGGGGGGGGGGGGGGCGGCACTTTGTATGGGGCGCCACAAAGGGGGCTGCAAATTTCTTCGGTTGATTGATTTCGATTGCCTTCGATTGGATTGATTTTGTTTGACAACACATCTGAAATTTTGCCATCGACTCACAAACAATCGATCCATTCAATTTAACACCACTGTGTACAAACAAAGAATGCCTTGACACATGAAGGCAGTCTACGCAAGAACAGAAAGTTTGCATCATATTTTTCGTATGAGCATTGCATCAATGTGTTGTTCATGCATGCTGTGGTTGCTTTCTAAAGCAAACCTTCACTATTTTCATGATGATTGGAACTCACTCAGCAATTTCACTCTAGTTTAAAACGTTCAAAGAAGCATTTCTTCAGAATAGCATAGGGTTTAGGGTTACCTCCGCAAGTTTCCCCAAACCCTTCCCAAACCCTTCCCAAACCCTAAGCCCTCAGCCCTCAGCCCTAAACCCTAAACCCTAAACCCTAAACCCTGCATTCCGCCTTGCCCGCCACAGGCGCGGGAGAATGCGATCGGAGCCGGGTGACCGGCTCAGAGTCTCTCTGCCCGGGTTTTTAGGGTCAGGGTTAGGGTTTAGGGTTTAGGGTTTAGGGTTTAGGGTTTAGGGTTTAGGTTTTAGGGTTTAGGGCTTAGGGCTTAGGGTTTAGGGTTTAGGGCTTAGGGCTTAGGGCTTAGGGCTTCGGGCCTTTGCTGGGTTTCCTAGCCTTTGAACCCAGGCTTAGACCCTAAACTCTAGACCCCAAGCCCCTTACTTGCCTTAAGCCCTAAACCCTTAACCCGTAGCCTTAACCCGTAGCCCTAAACCCTAAACCCGAAACCCCCTTACAAGCCTTAAACCCCAAACAGACCCCTCGACTCCAACAGAACATGCCCGAGGGCAGAGCTGCTGGCATCGCTCGAGGCTGCACTGTGGCCCAACCGGGCCCCTTGGGCAGGTAAATGTGGGTTTAGGGTTTAGGGTTTAGGGCTTAGGGTTAGCACAGGCTTTTTTTGGGAAAACATTAGCCCCCAAACCTGAACCCCCCAAGCCCTCAACTTTCACCAAACCCTAAACTCTAATCCCTACCTATGTCCTAAACCCTAATCCCTAATCCCTAATCCCTAATCCCTAATCCCTAAGTCCTAAACCCTAAACCCTAAACCCTAAACCCTAAACCCTAAACCCTAAACCCTAAACCCTAAACCCTAAACCCTAAACCCTAAACCCTAAACCCTAAACCCTAAACCCTAAACCCTAAACCCTAAACCCTAAACCCTAAACCTGCCAGAAAGCCGAAGGTGCTGCTAAGCACCTCTTAGGTTTCAAGGTTTGCGTGGGCCTGCTTGGACGAACACACGGTTAGTTCACTAAGTAAGGGTCTGTAGGGTTTAGGGTATAGGGTGTGGGGTATAGGGTTTGGGGTTTAGGGTTTGGGGTTTAGGGTTTAGGGTTTGGGGTTTAGGGTTTGGGATTCAGGGTTTAGGGGTTAGGGGTTAGGATTTATGGGTCCTTCTTTTACGGGGGCCATACAAAATGCACGACCCTCCCCCCCTTCAGAAAAGAAAAGAACAAAAAACACCCCAATG